TGTATATATATATATATATATATATATATATATATGTATATGTGTTATATAATAATACATACATATATATATATATATATATATATATATATATATATATTATATATATATATATATATACATATGTGTGTATATATGTATTATAGTAGGTATATATATGTATAGGTATATATAATACATATGTGTATATATGTATATGTATATCTCTATGTGTACACACGTATATATTGGTTACCATCCACTGGCAGCGCGGGATTGGAACGCTGGTCAGGAGGATTGCCAGCTGAGGTCATTACTACTGTACCTCAAAGAACACAGATGCACGATAACAATAATGACCATGATAAGGGTGATTATAATAATGTAATCAGTGATAACAATTATATCTGATATAATTATATATGATAATAGTTATTTTGATCATGATAACGATGGTAGTGGTTGTGGCAATAATAATAACAATAGATAATGATAATGAGTAATTATAACCACAATAATAATAAGAATAATCATATTAATGGTGTAGCAGGACATGTGTATTGTTTATACTCAACTTGGGGTTATCAAAGAAAGCAAAGAGGTTTATAATATATTTATTATCTGACTTGTTTTCATAGCATATGCTTTTGTATATTAAACTATCAATGCATATGATATAGGAAAAACATAATATTTTTTGGGGCGACCCTTAATATAGTCATACAATATAATGGTTATAATAAATACATAATAGTTAAAGGGTGCCAAATATGCAGCCCTTGTCCGGTTTACTGCTGTTTCCTGGATACTACATGTTAATCTGTTTAGAATATCCTTATATTCTAAATTCATGTCTTTTTATATCATGCATAGTATCATATACATCACATTCTTTCATTGGATTTCAAGATAGAATTAAAGTGAAGAAATAGATATTATTAGCGTTTTTTTTCTTTCTTGCGAAGCATAGATGAGAATAATTATGCCATTTCTATTTTGCCAAAATACTTCCATGAGGAGCCTGCAGAATATCATGAGCTCAAATTCAACCCATTCTTAGAAATGACTTTGGCACCCAAACAAGATTACATGTATATCTAGATATGATACAAGTCACAATGTCTAACCTATTTGTTTTTAGGCGAGGAAAGCAAAACGACAGCAATGAAAAATTAAACTGTCCGCAATTTCCTTCATTTTTTTTTTTTCGTTTCTGATAAACTGTCGAACGAATCATATCCCTGAGAGTTGGATCCTTTCTTCGAGCCAAGCGCGCTCTGGCCGCTTCCCCGCCGCGAACCTTGGCGTCTGCTCATCCAGCCTTCTGCGCGGGCTTCGGCAAGGGCAGCTGGACCCGCTGCCGGTGGTGGCAGTGCAGCCGCGCCTCGTGCCGCCCCGACCGCTCGCACGCGGCGAACTCCTGCCGCAACAGCTGCCGCTCAGCCTCCACTGGCGACCACGACACCAGCCCTCTGCTGAGCTGAGCTCGTGCTTGGCAGAACAGCAGAACTGGCACGGGCAGTCCACCCTGCTGCACGAGCTGGCGTGCAGTGCCAGCACGCTGTTGAAGCAGTGCCACACGTGGCATCGATGGCGGAAGATGCTGATGTGCGTGTAAGCCGCCCTCAGGCTCAGGCACAGCTCGCCGTTGTACGAGCAGCCTTGGCCGGGGCAATACTGGTGGTGGTACAGGAGCTGCGTGGCGTCCCCCTGGGCCAGCGCACTGGCCTCCGCCAGGACTTGTGACGCTCGACACGGGAACTCCTCAGCGTCCTCGCTGTGTGAGGAGGGCCACGGGACGCCGTCCTCGTAGTGCACGGCTGGGTTTCGCTCGTACAGGGCCGCCTCCAGCCTCCGGGCGCGCTCGCCCTCGGGCAGCGCCGCCCCCTCCTCAGAGAACAGATTAAGCGCCGTCTCCAGGATCGTTCTCTTGATACTCTCCCTGTGGTCTTCGGTTTCTTGGCCACTGGCCTTTTCCTCAGGCTTCCAGTTTTGATTAGAAAGAGTTATTCTATTACGGCTATATTTGTCCAAAGAATCTTTACAATGCTTCAATAGCTTTCTTGTTTTTTTATTACTTTTAACAACTTTTGCATCTTGGTTATTTGAATGTGCAAATTTCCTCATATCCTCATCCCATACTTTTGACTTATGGCCCTGAGATCCCACGATATGATCATCAATTATTTTTGTTTTAAGTATTTCCTGAGATTGACATACTTTTTGGTTTCTTTGTACTTTCTTATTGGTTTGTCTGTTAACATTTTTTTGGGCAATAGGAATGTATGTGGTTGATGGATTAAGAAATGTGTCTTTATTATCATTTAGTTCTCCACCAGTCATTTCACTCTGAATATACTCCAACACACTCATATCGCCTTTTTGGCCTCTTTGTGAAGCCTTTAGATACTCAGCTGAGGTGTTTTCCCCAATTTGTGATTTCCCCTTCACGTGGAAGCTGGTTAGTTGTTGTTCGGAAGAAGCATTAACTTCTGGCTGAAGGAAGGGAATCTCATAAGCTCCTCTGTCTTCAAAATTTGCTGAAGTGGGCGGTTGGAAACTTAGACAATTTGAGGGAGTTTGTGGTTTGGCTAAATGAAGGACCTTAAACGAAATGTCCTCCTGCTGGCCATGACTCCGCAGAGGTCCTACTTGAATAGTTTTCACTTGAGGGTTGGACGGCCTAACGATGAAGGGTTTGACTTTCAGAACTATGCATGGGACCCCGTTTCTAAATAATATGCTTTGGGCTGGAGGCTTTACAACACTGATTGGTTTGATGTCCTCTGATATCTTGACGAAAGAGGAGGCTTCTGCGCCAGGGAAATTGCCAACAAAGGTTTTGACAGATGGAGTAGCCTTATCCTTCATGCTGGCTGGAATCCCCTTGTGCTCCGTCACACTCGGAACTTCACACAGTCCTTCGCGACTGACAAGTTCTAGGTCTTGGAAGTAATATGTAGTAACAGGACCTTGTTTGAAGGCTTTTCTTCTGGACGGGAATTTGTTTCGGATCAGCACTGCGATCTGGAAAGAAAAAGGTAAAGAAAATATTAGACAAAGTGGCTTTCGATTGGTTTCTGTTCTTGGAAACTCAAAAAGGGAAACAGTGTTGGGCAAAGCAACATTCCTGTCACAATGGTTCTCCATGTGAAAAGTATGAGGATAGCAAGCACCACACGACTCTACTTACGCTGGTATCAGGAAGAGGTTCGTCGGGATGGTCGCGGGCATAGGCTGCTGCCACCTCCCATGCAAAGGTCCTCGCACCTGGCTCGTCCCTCAGCTGAGCGTCCACCCACTTGCGTCCTACTGCCATCCTGCAGCTGATCCCTTGGCCCTCCACAGGTCCTTCTTCTCCACTAACATGCTGTTCCTCATCCCTGAGGCTGCTCTCGTCAGACGACGCTGGTGCCACGTGTGAGGTTGGCCTCAGGTTGTACTTGGGAGCCTGGCTCTGAGGAGACGATGCGCGGAGTGAATAGGAGTCGACGTTGATGATGTTGTTAACCTTTTCAATTTCCGATAAGACGTTTTCAATAGAAGTTAGTGTTTTCGAATGATTGTTTTCGCTGGCAATTGGAGGTAAAATAGTGTCTGTTTTATGTAAAGTTTTTAAGTTGGACTCGCAATAAATTTGATCTTTTTCGAATGCACCCTGTTTCAAGCTTAAACTTTTCGAAAAGTGGTCTAAAGGCAAGTCAGCGGTCCCTCCACTATCCTCAATGAGTGCTGGCGACCAGTGTCTACTTCTGGACAACTTTTCGCTATTGGCGTCACTTAGCAGATGGTAATTGTTGCTCACTTTGGCCAGGAGTCGAGGTGGCTCCTGTACGTCGCTGCCACAGGCTGCCATCTCGCTGGGGTCCTGCTGAGACGCCATACTTGGAGCAGCAGGAGAGGCGCTGTGCTCGCTCCTGCTGACGAAGGACTCAGCGGCAAGACTAGCAGGAGGCGCGACTTGAGGAAAGCTGTCCTCGAAAATATACTTTCGCTTTTTAGGAATGATGGAGGACTCGGCAGAAGCCTTCCTCTTGGTGGGCTGCGTTGGAGAAGGGGCTCTGACGTCAGCAGGGGTGGCGCTGCGTGAGGGGGACACACTGACATCACTGAGGGTGGCGGAGCCAGGGCGTGGAGGGGAGGCAGTGACAGCAGTGTGGGTGGCAGGGCATGGGAGTGGGGGAGTGACGTCACTGCTGATCGCTAGGCGAGGGCCGGGCGGACTGACGTCAGCCTTGGCTTCGTCCAGGGATTTGATGGCCACATTTTTGTAGACGTAGATCTGAGCTCCTTGGCCTCCGCGTCGGCACTTCTGGTTCTTGAATCGGGACTTGAGAACCTTTCCGAACTGAAAGCAAAATCAAGAATCCTATTAGTACACTTGCAAGTCGATCCTGCACGAAACAATTATTGAAAATCTAGACGAAAGACCAGTGGTTCAGCTGACTGGAAATCTGGTTCCTACCTGTGCTATGTCCATGTAGTGGTGTGGGTTCTCGCTGAGGTAAGTGTTGTACAGGACGTGGACTGGCGTGGTGACGCCCTGGCGGTCCTCCAGTCGCCTGTCGACCCAGTCATCGCAGACCCTTCGCCACTTCGGCCGGTGCGAACTGGAGGAATTAAGGGCGTTGGTAAGATGAGGATTCGGAGGGAGCCAATGCGTGAGCGAAGAGAGAGAGAGAGAGTGTGTGTGCAAAAGAGACACCCAAATATGATTCGCCAAGGAGAGGAATAGTTGGGGAAAGAGAGAAAGTGAGAAAGAGATATTTTGTGTCTGTGTGTATTCATACTTATCTACCACAAATTATCATTCATCTTTATCTTCCACATCTACAGATAAGACTACTTATGTTAAATCTCCTTCCTGGCATGACAAACGTTTCCCTATCATATCATTTAAGTAAGAATTTGGGGAATTTAAATTCCCCAAATAGTACCAGAGAGAGAGAGAGAGAGAGAGAGAGAGAGAGAGAGAGAGAGAGAGAGAGAGAGAGAGAGAGAGAGAGAGAGAGAGAGAGAGAGAGAGAGAGAATACACATCTATAAATTTTTGAGGATTCCGTGTGTGAGAAAACCTACCTTGGCAGAGGACTCGTCATGAGCGCTTTACCATGTGATCGCTTCCTATTACACAAACGTAAGTTCGAATTCTCTTTATTATCTGTGGATTCAGAATTCAAGTATTTCCTGATGAAGGCTCTACACTTGACCATTTTCCTGTCACATCAGGCAAGTGGATGAAAGTGGGAGACCTGTTCGTGCGAGAGAATAAATGTGTACTACCGGTCGCTCTGCACAACACACTGAACGTTGGCGAGGTGAGCGCTGCCTTTATATAGCTCTGCAAAAAACGTGTTACATCATGTTACAAAACGTTGTCCTCAGTTATTTTCGTCTACGTTGGAAGGGTTGCGTCAGTCTAGATAGGAGGCAAAGCTGGATTATATTGCAAGTGCTGAAAACTTGATCGTAAGAGAAGAGAGAGAGAGAGAGAGAGAGAGAGAGAGAGAGAGAGAGAGAGAGAGAGAGAGAGAGAGAGAGAGAGAGAGAGAGAGAGAGAGAGAGAGAAGAGGGGGGGGGGGTTAAAGGTGGGAGAGGAAAGAGACTAATAGAAAAGAACGAAAGGAAAAGAAAGAACGAAAGAGGAAGAGAAGGAGAGAGACAGTTAAAGAACGAAAGAGAGAGAGAAGGAATCGCAAAAGGAAGCGAAGAAAGGCAGGAGTGCCAAGTGCCAACAGAGGCACTCCGACAGGAACAGAAAACGTTTTCCTTCCGTCGCCTCCACGTACAAACACGTACGTACATGTAGGCCTATGTGTGTGAGAGGAAAAATTCAATTTAATATGTCAATGGGCGTTGTTGTTGTTGTTGTTGTTGTTGTTGTTGTTGTTGTTGTTGTTGTTGTTGTTGTTGTTGTTGTTGTTGTTGTTGTTGTTGTTTTTAGAATTCAGTAATGGAGTTCAAACTTGCTTTTCTTATACGAATAATGTGAGTACTTTCTTCATACTAATTCTTCGTCCTGAGCATGGAGTGATTTCGAGCCAGAATAAAATTTAAGACGAAATATTTCGTAAATATATAAATAGCAATGATAATAATAATAATAATGATAATAATAATACAAGTTATCATTATCATTATTGCTATCATCAATATCTTCATTATTCTCATTACTGTCCTTACATTATCCATATTGTTGTAGATATCATCACCTTATCATGATCATCATCATCATTTAGTATCCTTATCATCATCATCATCATCATTATCATTCGTATGTATCATCATCATTCATCATTAGTAATCATTATCATCTCATCATCATTAGATTCATAGCTAATCTTTGAGTATCATTAATCATAATAGATCATAGTATCTTTATCATTATCACCATCATCATTAGATTATCATCAATTCAATCATCCTTATCATTATCATCATCATCATCATTAGTATTTTATCATCATCATCATCATCATTAGTATCATTTATCATTATCATCATCATCATCATCATTAGTATCTTTATCTATTATCATCATCATTTAGTATCTTTATCATTATCATTCATCATCATCATTAGTTATCTTTATCATTATCATCATCATCATTATCTTTATCTTTATCATCATCATCATCATCATTAGTATCTTTATCATTATCATTATCATCATCATCATCACTTAGAATCTATTATTCATTTATCATCATCATCATTTAGTATACTTTATGCCATTATTCATTATCATCACCATTCTAGATCATCATCATTTATCATTATTCATTATCATCATTCATCTTTATCATCATCGATCATCATCATTAGTTATCTTTTTATCTTTATCATTATCATCATCATCATCATTAGTATCTTTATCATTCATCCATCATCATCATAGTATCTTTATCATTATCATTATCATCATCATCATTAGTATCTTTATCATTATCATCATAATCTAGTATCCTTTATCATATCTCATCATCATCATTAGTATCTTTAATGCATTATCATTATCATCATCATTAGTATCTTTCATTTATTCATCATTCACTCATCATTAAGTATCTTTATCATCATCATCATTAGTATCTTTATCTATCATCATCAGCATAGTATCTTTAATCATTCATCATCATCATCATCATCATTAGTATCTTTATCATTCATCATCATCATCATCATTAGTATCTTTATCCTTCATCATCATCATCATCATCATTGTGGAGATCTGCCTCTTCCCGTTCTTAGCTCTTCCTGTGCTTGGCGTCCCTTTCTCCTTCTGGGAAAAGGGATAACCAGGCATCTCATTTCTCATTAAAAGTCGCCGTTTACTGAAACACGTTTTGAACACGTTGGGTGAAGGCCAGTGGGAGACGGTGGTAATGATAACGCCGATACGAACGATAAGAGCAATGATGATTATACTAATAAGAACAGTCATGCTGATGGGCTAATAGAGTAAAAAATTATGGGAATTTTGTAGTAAGAACGTTCATGGTGATGAGGATGATAATGTTGATTACCCAAAAGATACTAATAACTAAAGTAAAAATGCATATATACATACATACATACATACATATATATATAATATATATAATATATATATATATATATAATATATATATATATATATATATGCAATTAAATGAAAAATAATAAAAGAAAATAACGAAAGGTTGTCAACAGATCTTGACACCCATCGCCTTAATTAAGGACCTACCCCCCCCCCCCACCCCTCTCCCCTGAAGTAAAGCGTGCGGAAGACTATCAGGAAATCCGGCGAAAGATTTCGTTTCCGAACAAGTCCTGAACACGTCGGCTTCCCGCCGCAGGCCTGCCCTCTTCCGCGCAACTCGAGGAGGAGTCTCTCGAGGCGGAGCGAGCGCTGGAGCCCTTCCCCTGGGGCCGTTCGGAGAGCCCCCCCCCCCCCGCCCGCACACCTACCCCATGGATAAGCCCCCTCCCCGACGGCTACCCCCTGGACAGCTGACTCCCACTGCCCTTTGATAGTCAACTTCCTCCTGCCCTTAAATGATAACAGCTTTAGAAACTCACCATATAAACAAAATGCAGTAATAACTTTTCGCTGTTTGTCTGTCTCCTTTCTCTCTTTCTATCTCTCTCTGTCTCCTTTCACATTCCCCTTCTCTCCTCTTTCGATTCCCCCATTCTCTATCTTCATATTCTATCTCTCTCTCTCTCCTTTCTATCCTCTCTCTCTCACACACACACACACACACACACACACACACACACACACACACACACACACACACACACACACACACACACACACACACATCATACCCTCCCTCACTCGGTCTCTCCCCCTCCCGTTGAATGGACTAAAGGGGGGGAGAAAGTAAGGGCTCCTTCCTTTTCTCTCTCAGCTTATATATCTATATCCACATGTAATCCAATTTCCTATCTGTTTACATATAACAAACACACACGCGCGCGCACGCAGTGACATGCCTGGCCTGCATAGCGGCAGAGCCTCATGCTCCAGCACGCTCTCCCGGCCAGAGCTTGTCACAGCAGGCAGCGGATGGGGAGGTGGGGGGGGGGGGGTGTTGCGCGTAGTGGTGCAGGAGCGTGACGCCATGTGACGGGCCTGACTTGTGAATGAAGCCTTTTTTTTAATGTTTTTCACTTATTTGAGGGGTCTAATGCTTCATGACGTTGCGTAGTAGTGTGTTTTCTTTGTTATCATTCATAAATAAAAGAAAAATGAGGATAATATAAGAACTTATATATTTGTATCTTAGTTTTCTTGTAACAAAAAGAAAAACATAACTTTTTTCTTCAAAAACTAGATTGAACTGATTCTCCCAAAACTTGAAAAGCTCTTCTCCTGTTATTACAAAATCTAAATTCAATTTCTATGAAAATTCTAACTGTTTTCTTTAAAAATTCTAAAATTCTAAAAATTTTTTTCTTAAAGACAGTCTGGCCGTACTCATCTTTCAACAATCTGAACTGCATTTCCTCTCAAAGACCCAAATTGCCCTCCTTCAACTTTCTGAATTATCAAAGAACAGACTCCAACCCAACAGATGCTTCTCTAATTTCTAACTAACCTAATCTAACCTAACCTAACCTCTCTAACCTAACCTAAACCTCTAAATAACCTAAAACCAACCTAACCTAACCTAACTAATCTAACCTAAACCTAACCTAACCTAACCTAACCTAACCTAACCTAACCTAACCTAACTAACTAACCTAACCTAAAACCTAAACCTAACCTAACCTAGCCCTGCATTGTACTCCGAGAAGTCAGCAGACCTGCGACCTCTTCCGCGTTTTTGCAAAAGTGAAGAAAATGAAGTGACGATTTTTTTTTTTTTTTTTTTTTTTTTTTTTTTTGTAAACTGCTTTGGAATATCAAATGCAGATTGATGATTTATTTAGGGGGACAAAGGATAAAATGATTTCGGCAAGATGTGCATATTTGACTTGTGAATTGATATGAGCATAATTATAAAGCAGATCATAATGAACATAATAACTAAAAGTAATTTATAGAATGATAAAGGCAATAATGATGATAATCAGAATGACACTGTCAAATCCACGTCATATGACAAGCTGGCCGATTACAGAGAAGGGAAACTGATACACGGAAATGCGTCGCGTCAAGAGAGAAGGGATAGAGTTTGTTCGCTGAAGAAATTTGACAATAATTTCTTGACGAAAATCTGGAATCTGAGAATCACAAGAGAGAAAAGTGGATTTGAGGATTTACTTTTGATGTCAGAATCTTGGCTACTTATATTTGTGTATTATATATATATATATATATATATATATATATATATATAATATATATATATATATATATATATATATATATATCTCTTCACGGTTGTTTTGGTAAAATTAAACGAGGGACATGTAAAATAGAATAATTTATTTGATAAATAATAATCTGAAAATATATAGTTGTGGAAATTATTAATGGGAAACAAATATAGCAAATGCACTCAACAATTATATCTAAATAATATAACAATATTTTGTACTTCATAAAAGGATATACAATGATTGCCTTATAAGCTAGTTATATTTTTCATGTCATGCGCACGACCGAATCTGCAGCTTGTCTTAAAAGGAACGCAATTTCGCCCTCGAAAAGGCAGTTCTCTGAACTGCACTCCAAGGGCATGGCTCGTCCTCAGGAACTGCCGCTGGAATCGCTCTCTGCGCCCCCCTGCGTGGCTGCAGCCACCTGCAGCGCACTCAGGACAGGACTGGTGAAGGAGGGACTCCTCCTCCCCACCAGGAGTTCCCCGACTACCTCGAGGCCGCGCGACTCCACGTCTGCTGCGCCGTCCCCAGGCTGCGTCCCGCGGGCCTTCGCCACGGGCTTCGGCAAGGGCAGCTGGACCCGCTGCCGGTGGTGGCAGTGCAGCCGCGCCTCGTGCCGCCCCGACCGCTCGCACGCGGCGAACTCCTGCCGCAACAGCTGCCGCTCAGCCTCCACTGGCGACCACGACACCAGCCCTCTGCTGCTGAGCTCGTGCTTGGCGAACAGGCAGAACTGCACGGGGCAGTCCACCCTGCTGCACGAGCTGGCGTGCAGTGCCAGCACGCTGTTGAAGCAGTGCCACACGTGGCATCGATGGCGGAAGATGCTGATGTGCGTGTAAGCCGCCCTCAGGCTCAGGCACAGCTCGCCGTTGTACGAGCAGCCTTGGCCGGGGCAATACTGGTGGTGGTACAGGAGCTGCGTGGCGTCCCCCTGGGCCAGCGCACTGGCCTCCGCCAGGACTTGTGACGCTCGACACGGGAACTCCTCAGCGTCCTCGCTGTGTGAGGAGGGCCACGGGACGCCGTCCTCGTAGTGCACGGCTGGGTTTCGCTCGTACAGGGCCGCCTCCAGCCTCCGGGCGCGCTCGCCCTCGGGCAGCGCCGCCCCCTCCTCAGAGAACAGATTAAGCGCCGTCTCCAGGATCGTTCTCTTGATACTCTCCATGCGTCCTTCGTCAAACCTGTGTTTCGTTTCTTGGTCGGTCGCACTCTCCATACAGTTCTGGCCATCATCACCTTTCCTTGCTAAAGATGCTTCACTTTCCTTGGTTTTGCTAAGGGAATTTTCGCAAGGCTTTGAACTCTTCCTTGGATTTTTATTTCTCCTCACTTTTTTACTTTCTTGATTATTCGTGCGAGCAAATTTCCTCATGTCCGCATCCCAGGCCTTCGATTTCTGGACCTGGAATTCCGCATTCTCCACCACCTTTTTCGGTGACGCCGTTTCAGCTGAACTAAGATTTTCTGATATTTTCTCTGGTGAAGATACGTTCTCATTAATTTGAATATGATTCTTCGTCTCTTCGTTGACCTTTTCCGTAAGATTAGGAATGTCTGTCATTAATGGTGTTGGAAGCACTTTAACAATATCGTCTTTCACTTCACTATTCATTTCACTATCGATATATTGCGAAACGTTCATATCTGAATTACTATCGTATTTTGGCGAGCTTGACTGATCGAATGCACTCTTATTCTCACTGAGCGATTCTATTTTTACTTGGAAGTTACTAAGTATTTGTTTGGGCGAATCAGCGACTCCCGATTGTAGAAGTGGAGTCACCTCAGCCTTTGCAGAACTTGAGAGTCTGAAGAGACCGTTTTTAGAAACATTGTGTGTTTGGGGGGACTGAGACGGAGGATCAGTTTGCTCTTTCGGGATTCGGGGAAGGTTCGCTGAAGAGAGGACCTCATACGAAATGCTGCCCTTCCGCTTGTCGCTCTCCAAAGACCCCTGTTGAGCAGCACCTCCCTGAGACCCCGATGACCCCACGCTAATAGGGGTGACCCTCAAGGCCACGCATGGGACCCCGTTCATCATAAATACACTTTGGGCTGGAGGGTTTACCACAGCAATGGGTTTGCCGTCCTCTGATGTCTTGACCAGGGTGGAGGATTCTGTTCCATGCGCGTGGTCTGATGGACTGGCCTTTCCCTCCACGCTACTTGGAGACCCTCGGTCCTCCTTCACGGATGGAACGTCACACAGTCCTTCGCGATTGACAAGCTCTAGGTCTTGGAAGTAATATGTAGTAACAGGACCTTGTTTGAAGGCTTTTCTTCTGGACGGGAATTTGTTTCGGATCAGCACTGCGATCTGGAAAGAAAAAGGTAAAGAAAATATTAGACAAAGTGGCTTTCGATTGGTCTCTATTCTTGGAAACTCAAAAAGGGAAACAGTGTTGGGCAAAGCAACATTCCTGTCACAATGGTTCTCCATGTGAAAAGTATGAGGATAGCAAGCACCACACGACTCTACTTACGCTGGTATCAGGAAGAGGTTCGTCGGGATGGTCGCGGGCATAGGCTGCTGCCACCTCCCATGCAAAGGTCCTCGCCCCTGGCTCGTCCCTCAGCTGAGCGTCCACCCACTTGCGTCCTACTGCCATCCTGCAGCTGATCCCTTGGCCCTCCACAGGTCCTTCTTCTCCACTAACATGCTGTTCCTCATCCCTGAGGCTGCTCTCGTCAGACGACGCTGGT